TTTAACGCCCGGCAAAAAGCCTCCGATCCCTCCAGACTTAGTGCTGGCCCTCAACTCATCCAACATTAACTTCTCCAGCATTTCGTTCACATAAAAGATGCCTTCCGTCTGAAAATGTCAATCATATGTATAGTTAGTGTTGGCCTCCAATCGCGCCATCAATGGATCCGTTAATTATGCAATACTTGCCCTCATATTAGGGACGAATCCTTTGTTTATAATCCAATAGTTGTTGTGTTTCTCCAAATACTTGAGCTCTTCGTCATACGTGCGAACCATTTCGATGTCTTGTAATATCTGCCGATGTCTTCAATTACTCAACAAATGCTTTAATCTTAACACTAATTAACAAAACGTTGAGATTTCGTCTAATATTTCTCATATCACGTGACAAAACATATGCAAACAGTAATGCAATGCAATGCCAGGCAATGATTGCATTCCAGTTCTTACAGTAATACCCGATATGTAATGCTATCTCATGTCAACTCATATGCGCTTAAAATTATTCAAATATATCTAATTGTCTGAAAATATTATAACAAATTATTATCAAAACTAATGTATTTCATTAATTTGTTTAGTAGTTTTCAAGTACTTTTCATTTTATTATTCATTATTCATTACAATAATATTCTTTTATTTTATATGGTATTTACTGTTAACACATATTCTACAGTATATTATCTAGATACTAGAAATTAGATTGTATCATCTTTTTAGATATTAAACATGTGATCTTAAAATTTATTATTAAAATATCATTTTAAATGTTTAAAGTCTACTTAAATCTTCAAGCTTAAAATCATTCCCTTTGTTAGACATAAATAAATAAATAAATTTTACTTGTATTATACGATTCTTTACATAAAAACGTGCGATTAATTACTAAATGAATATATTTTTTTTTGTAACTCAAGAGAAGTATAAATTATAACATAAAAGCTGGAAATGTGGTGACAGTTAATGTGGTGACGGAATGCCCTCTACTATAAATTACGTACAGTATATCACAATCACTGCAAAGTTTGAAAACATTGTATTAGCGTTTCCTACCCCTTTTAAATGTAGACATTATTTATGAATAGCGCTAAATCACTTTGCATATCACTTGTACAGCGAATACTACATAATTTTTTAGTCACCACATTAACTGTCACCACATTTCCAGCTTTTATGTAATCAAAATATATGTTGAGATGAAGTGAGCACTTGTGAGCATGACTTGGGATATTGATTGAAGGGATACTGAAAAGAGTGAAGGGATGAGAGGATGAGAGAAATTCTGATGTTTGGATCGATTTTTTGCGTAAACCAAACGATATTAAATGCAAATCTAAAATAACAAATTAATACTAAAACATTGTTGCACTATCAGTGATGAGATTACATTTGCATTAAACTTTATTATTCAAAAATTTATGTTGAATTATAATGAAGTCATTTAATGTAATGCTATTGAATTTATTTGTAATTCTGTGTTCTTTATGCACAACAAGAGGTGATTATTCTGATAACACATCGACTTTTGAAAATAATGTGCCCCTCAATGGAAATCCCAAAATTTATAATATTGGCGCTGTTCTCAGTTCGGGGGACAATATATACGAATTCACTCAAGTAATTCACTTTCACTAATTCAGTAATCGTGTGCTAAATGTTTGTCTTTTAACAAAACATTTGTTTTTCAGAATATCGAAGAAATAAATCGCAAACCGGGAATTTTACCAACAAGTATTTGTTTACTACTTTAATTTTCAGATCATTTAGTTTTGGTTTTTGTTAAAAATCTAATTATATAAGGGCTTAAATATACAAATTGATTAATTACAAATAATTAATTTATAAAAACAATCTACTGTATTATAATTTATAAACTCCAATTTTGTGAGTTTAGATATATAATTTTATAAAGTAATGTAATTTAACTATTTAAATACAAATGTTGTCAATATTTAATAATCTAAACATGCGATAAATAACAATTTATTCTAGAATTTATTTGTAACAATTTTGTTGTTAATAATCTATAATGCTTTGAGTACAAAAATGTTTTAAGAATTACTTTCGAATAGTATTTTTATCTATCAATGTTTTTGTTAATTTTTTTATATATTTTAAAATATTTCAGATGTATCTCTATATCCACTGACGGTTCCCGTGAATTCAAACCCTATAAGAACCGCACAAAGCGTTTGCGATAATTTAATTTCATCTCAGGTTTCACACATTTAATCAGATTTATCACATGTATGTCAATGTATATGAATAAACATATGCCAAACAGGTCTATGCGGTGATTGCATCTCATCCATCAAATGGAGACCAGTCTTTGTCGTCGGTTTCATTTACTTGCGGTAAATTTCAATCAAGAATTGTACGTAATTTACAATTTATTTTTGTAATTAACAGGTTTTTACAACATTCCCGGTTTGTTTCTATTATAACAAATCCTAATTTGTGGCTATATTTGTCTTTTTAAATTAACTTTATATTAATGCTTATTAAAATAGTCATTGGAATCACAAACCGAGAGAGTACATTATCGAACAAAAACTTGCATGCTGCTTTCATCAGAACTGTGTAAATATTATTTTAATTATAATGCATTATTATCCAATCCGTCAAAAAGTATTAACCAATCAGTATCGGCCATACCTTCCAGACGGAATGAGCTAGATCAAATCTGTAAAATGTATCATGATATTCCATATGTCAAGTTTTTAACCACAATTCAGCTATGAATAATGTGGTTTATAGGATCGTTCGGCCCCACAATGTATAAATGTTTAATTGATTGTCAATTAGTATTTAAACTCATACTTAAAGATAAATGGATAGATTAATAATTAGTTTACAGAATATAGAAAATAATATCTTTATTTTTAAATTAAATAATATTGCAATTTATAAACTATAATTTGGTAAATTGTTTGTTCAATTCTCAGAATTCACTTTTATAAATCATTATCACTCACACCCAAATTCTTAGGTGTGTTAGAATAATTGATATAGGGTGGTATTAATCGAAAAAATCATATTTTTAACACTTTGTAAAATCTAAAAACACAATATAACTGTAATATAACTAATAAAGTTAACAACATACAACTGCATAACTTATAAGTTTGTAAGTTAACCTTAACTAAAAACAATTTCAATTTTGAGATTTTCCATAATAATTACCCTGGTACAATATACTTTATAAATTGTTATATTGAACCCAATTAACGTTTCTAAAATTGTTTTGGGAATTTGTTTAGGATGTAATTTGTTGTTCATTGTTAAGCAAATAATTTTTAATTGTTGGATGTATGTGAAACAGAATTTATTGATCTACAAAACTATACAATCCAATTGTCTGTATGTCTTGTGGTTCCCGAGTAATCACCACCCGAAGAGGTCGACCTCAAAAATCCATTTGGCACAATGACCATGGCACTTTTATAAATCGATATAATAAGATGGGGTAAAGGGATTTATCATATAGATTGGATAAAGTAAATAATTATTTGATATAAATAATAGCCCCTGAATTCACTATTTAAAACATTTCTTCACTTTTATTTGTCAAATTTATTGATTCCCATTGAATAACATGGCCAAACGGTTTTGGGAGGTCGACCTCTTCGGGTGGTGATTACTCGGGAACCACAAGACATACAGACAATTGGATTGTATAGTTTTGTAGATCAATAAATTCTGTTTCACATACATCCAACAATTAAAAATTATTTGCTTAACAATGATCAACAAATTACATTCTAAATAAATTCCCAAAACAATTTTTAATTCGTTAGGGCTCCGTTTTCGCATCAGGCGGACGTTTGGATAGAGATTCTCGTAAGACTCAAATATTTAAGTGTAATATTCATCCACAGGTAATTATATTTGCTATTAAGTATATATTTTAAATAACACTCAAATTAAATGCACAGTTCAGATAGTGATGGTAGAAGTACTTTGGGTCGATTCCAGAATTTAGCCGACATTGCAAACAGTAATTAACATAAGACTAAAATGAATCTCAATTAACATTTAAATCAATATTAATTGCAGTAAAAGTGGAATCAATAATTAGATACGAGCCGTCGGTTCCATCGATAGAAAATGAGTTAAATGAAGTGAAAAGAGAGTCCTATTGTCGAGTATTCCTATTGTACGCCAATAGAGAAGACGCCCGAAGTATTTTCCAACAAATCTATTCGCAACAAATGACTGAACCCGAGTACGTATGGCTAGTCTCGGAACAGTCTCTGGAGGCCATTAATAGGCCGAACGGAGTATTGGCTCTACGATTAAATTCGGTAAATGAGAGCTCAATGATCGGCGACACCGTCCAAGTGCTGGCAAATGCATTGAAGCAAATGTATGACAACGAAAACATAACAGTCCCGCCGACTGATTGCGGAAAGATCTCAATCAACAAATGGGAAACTGGCATAAAATTTGTCAAATATTTAAAAAACCAAACATTTAGCGGAGAAACCGGAAGAATAGCTTTTGACGAATTTGGTGACAGACTTCTCAGTGATTATGAAATCATTAATATTAATAACGGAAAAGAAAAAGTGATTGGAAAGTATTCCTTCTCCAATGCAATCATGAAAATGGATTTAAATTTAAATGTAGAGCAAATTGTATGGCCGGGAAATCTGACTGAACCACCGCTCGGTAATTGAAAGTGAATACAAATGTAAGATTTTAACAGTTAATTTGTTTTAAAGGATATGTAATACCAAAACATTTAAGGGTATTTACTTTGGCTGAAAAGCCATTCGTTTGGGTAAAGCCAATGATTGAAGGAAAATGTAAAATTGGTCAAAAATATTGTCCAAAATATAATTCAACTGCAAAAGTATATTTCGACGAGTGTTGTGAAGGCTATTGTATTGATTTAATGGAAGTATTGTCAGCAAAATTGAACTTTACATATGATTTGGAACAAGTAGAAGATGGACAGTACGGAACCTATGATTTTATGAACGGCACAAAAGTGTGGTCAGGACTCGTCGGTATGAATTAATAACTATATTTATAAATAAAGGTATATTAATATTTGAAAACTTATAGGAGAATTAGTTTATAAAAGGGGAGATATGGTGGCCGCACCTCTCACTGCTAATCCTGAGAGGTATTGCAAGTTATTAAATACTTTTTATTTTTATTTTACATTTTTAATATTTTCTTTTCATATCAGAGGACAAGTGATTGATTTTTCCAAACCTTTTAAATACGAGGGAATTACTATTCTTCAGAAAAGACAGCCACGAAAGGCAGCGTTAGCCTCATTCTTACAACCCTTTGAAAACACTCTTTGGCTTTTGGGTTAGTTTTAATTCATGTCTTTATTAAATTAATTGATATTTCTAATAAACATTTTTATGATCTAATGGTTGTTAAATATAGTGCTGGTATCCGTACATGTGGTCGCATTGGCTCTCTATCTTCTCGACAGATTCAGTCCATTCGGTGGCTTCAAAATGGCAGATGTCGTGCCATCAGATGAGGGCGCTCTCAACCTTTCGAGTGC